TTATCACTGAGATTGTCACCTAAATTTTATTTTCACTGAAACTTTAGCTTTTACCCATTTTTCCATTTAGCTGTTCATTTTTTTTTATTGATTAATAGAAATTCTGCTCATAAGTGGGCAGGTAATTCTTTGTAATATGATTTGTGAAATATTTTATAGTTGATCATTCATAATTTAAGTTTCTTATGTTTTACATTCATAGATTTGTTTTTATTTTTTTATTATTTTTTTACATTCATAGATTTGTTTTTAATGTAATAAAGTTTATCAAGTTTTTAAGCTTTGTGTTTTGTTACCGTAATTGGACAAGACTTTCCTACTCTTAAAACATTTTTCCCTTTTCAACATACCTACATTTACTAGTGATGTTTTAAATGTTTATATCTTTGATCTGTTTGAAATTTATCTTAATATAAGGTATTCTCTATAAATCTTTTTTCTCTAAATGATTACATTCAACTTAAAAAATGCACATTTATTGTTTAATTCATCATTTCCTCATTTAAAATTCTACCTATATCTAATAACATTTTGTATGTATTTGGTTTTACTTTTTCCACTAGTTTATGTTTGTTGATGACTTTGTATCATATTGTTTGATTTTTTCTAGTTTTACAGTGCATTTAAATATGCTAATTAGGTACCCCTCTTTTTACTTTTTCATATTATTCTTCTCATTTTCTTTATATTTTCATATGAAATTTAGCTTAGATTTGTTCAATTTAAAAATAAATGATTATATATAGAGTCACATTTAGTTAGGGAGAATTGACATTTGTGCATTTGTATAAATATGTCATCTTATCCCAGATACAATAGTTTCTATATGTTCAAGTCTTTTTTGAGTCTTTTAAGAATGTTTTTAAAAATTCTTCATATTCAGAGAGTGTATTATTTATTAAGAAGTAGTTTGTCACTGTTTAAATTATTTCAAGTGGAATGTATTCCCAATTTATGTTTTGTTTTTGTTTGTAAAAGGAAATCTATTGATTTCTATATATGGATTTGTATCTAGAAATCTACCTGAATTTCTTCTTCATAACCCCTTTCATCTGTTGATTCATGGATTTTCTAAATATAAATTCACATCAATAGAAAATAGTGAAAACTATTATTTTCTTTCTCATTTTCATGTCTAATTTCTTTTATGTGTCTATCTACAATGACAAATACTTTCAAAATGGTATCATAACAGTGGTAAAGTGGCCATCCTTGTCTTAGAATTCTGATGAGAATGCTTCTAGTGTTTCCTTGGTAAGAAAAATATTAAGTATGGAGTAGAGATAGTTGTATTTTATCATGCTTAAATAGCATCCATGTATCCTTATTTTATTTTTTAATAAAAAAATGGTACAAATTTTATCAAAGGCCTTTCAATACCTATGGAAATAATCTATATCTTTTTCCTATAGTCCATCACTAGTAGTAAATAACCTGCCTGCCAGTGTAGGAGATGTAAGAGACACAGGTTCAGTCCCTGGGTTAGGAAGATCCCTTGGAGATCCCCTGGCAACCCACTCCAGTATTTTTGCCTGGAGAATCCCCTGGACAGAGGAGCCTGGCAGGCTACAGTCCAAAGGGCTGTCGCAAAGCATTGGGTATGACTAAAGTGACTTAACATGTACTTAGCATAGTCCATCAACATTTAAAAAAAAGGAATAGGTTGTTTAATGATGAAACATTCTTACTGTGATGGAATAAATTTTACTTGGTTATGCTATGTGGTGTTATCATTTTATTTTATTTTATTTTATTTTGGTGTTATCATTTTAATATGTGGCTGAACTGTGTTTCATAATATCATAACATTTGTTTTGCATTTTTTTTAACAAATTCTTTGTTGGTTTTTTATGTTATTGTAAGATTAACTTCATAAAGAGACTTGGTTGGTTTTCTTTATGCTATTGAGCATTTTAAATAGATTTGTAATTTTTTAACCTGTAAAAGTTTTGCTAACACTTTCCTGAGAAAATGTCTGAGTTAGATTTTTAATATAGGATTAGCATTTTCACAACTAAGTTTTTCCATAGTGAATGATCTATAAATATTCTGTTTGTGTTGGAATTAATTTAATTTAGTGAAAAAATTTAAAAATATTTCCTTTTTCACTGGGTCTTCGATTGCTTTTGTGTAGTTGAACAGCATAGTCTCTTGTCAATCTTTTCATTTCCTCCAAATATCATGAGTTTTCCCTCATCATTTATTACCTTATGAATTTGTGCTTCTGACTTCTGCATTTTCTGGTTTATTGGTTTGCTCAGAGATTTGGTGTTCTGTTCATTTATTAGTTTGGCCATTTTTCTTATTTATAGTTGATTACATGCTGTTTTTACCTTTATTAAATCCATCCTTCTGTCTTGGCTTGTTTTGACTGTCTTCAGTCAAACTTCATGCCTTCATCTCATGGCTTCTGTTATGAATGGCTTTTACTGATTGATATTTTTAGGTATTAAACAATTTGGGTTTGGATTTTTCTTATATTGTTTCAGCAAGGTTTCTTTTTGAAATCTTTTTCTTTTTGATTTCCAGGTTTTAGGGACTTTTATATTGTTTTATTGTCGAATTCTTTTTCCAGCTTTTTGATAAAAAACAAAGAGACTATGAAGTCGCTCAGTCGTGTCCGACTCTTTGCGACCCCACGGACTCTATCCTACCAGGCTCCTCTGTCCGTGGGACTTTCCAGGCAAGAATACTAGAGTGGGTTGCCATTTCCTTCTCCAGGGGATCTTCTGGACCCAGGGATTGAACCCAGATATTTCATGTTGCAGGCAAACGCTTTACCATTTGAGCCACTAGGGAAGAAATAAGATAGTGTCTTATTTCTACTTTGATATACATGAAGGGTTTATTCTTTGTGGCTTACTATTTGGTCAAATTTATGAATACTCTATACATTTCATAAAAAGCGATAGTCACAGTTTTCAATAAACAAAGTATTAATGTTTATATTATTTTGAAGTTTTAAATAAAATTTAGAGCCATTTTGTTAAATTCCAAAAATACACATTATGATATTTTTAGAGAGATTACATGGGAGATAGTTGCATGACTAATTGGTGGATTATTTTTTACAAAGTTTAAAGTTTTAAATTCAGGAATATTACCTATTTCTGTTTACTCAAAATTTGTTTTACACTTCTTAGTTAAACCTTTTTTAGTTTGGTTTTGGTGTTTTCATATATCCCTTGTTTATTATCTTTTAAATATTAGCAATTACATTTAGTATATATTAGATTATCTCAGTTTCATAAACAATTTAAATAAAAATTTTAAATAAGTATAAATATGATGTGATATTGTAGCTTTTACCACTTTTCATAAACATACACATACATATATATAATCATTTTAATTTGTTACATAGAATTCTTTTATATAATTTTACAATGAATTTGTTAAAGCAGTTCCTTTTTGATTGCCATTTAGGTAATTTCCAACATTTTGAATCATAAACATTATATCCAGACAGAAATGGTTTTGTGTGTGAATATTTAAATGTGTATGCATACACACTCAACACATATACCTAGAAAATGCCAATTTAATTCCAAGGACCCATTTCAATCTCAGACTTCACATTTAAAATTGATAGTATGAAGATCATGGATTCTCACTGCCACATTGCCCCTAAGAGACTTTATTTTGAAGAAATATGGAAAAGAGATCTGCTTATATTAGTTCTGTTTCTTTTCCATCCCTCAGTGTGTTAGAATGAAGATGGGTGAGGGAACGGAATTCAGAACAGCGATAAAGATTATGTCTCTATATGGCAATATGTATGGCACACATGATTTTTACATTTTAAGGTAGTTGATTCCATGAAGCTATAGCCAAACACTCGCATTGTGTGCATCTTTGGAATGTCTCCAGCAACAAAAAAGCCCCACAAAAATGACTGCATCAGTTCAGCTACATCAAAACATCCTAATTTGTCAATATAAATAGTTACTATTATTGCTGTTAGCATTATTATTATGGATTTTCTTTTCTCTGTTATGTACTGCATTTTGCATTTTTACTGCTTTTATCATGTACTGTTATCATAATTAGAAAAACACATTTCAATAAAAATGCAAGATTGTGAAGACACAGTTTGGAGATATAGATGAGTAGTCACTAGTCATCTCTGATCTCTACAACCCCTCTCACCCACCAGGACTCTGAAGGATGATCTGCTTAAGTAACTCATAGGCAAGTCTGGCTCTACTGACGTAAGTATCTTTATGAGATAGAGCTTCAGTTTGAGGGATTGTAGAGGCTTCAGGCTAAGCTGGTACACAGGCTAGTATTTGTTACCCAGGCTAGTATTTGTTACCCCCACTTCCCAACCTCTGTAAACAACTGAAATATAATCTTTATATTTTGATCTAATCTGTAATGCCTCTCCCACAGAATTTCCCAGCCAGTTCTCAAATTGGACAAGTGGCCATTGCTTAGACCCAAGGAGAGGGTCACAGGTCTGCTTCTCTAATAATTGTTCATTCAGGCTCCTCAGAGAGCTCCTAGGAGGAGGAGTTTGAGAAATGGATGTAAGCAGCCATGCTGTGCTTTGCTGTTCTTAGCCGCTCATTCATGTCTGGTTCTTTGTAACCCCATGGACTCTAGCCTGCCAGGCTCCTCTGTCCATGGGAATTCTCCAGGCAAGAATACTGGAGTGGATTGTCATGCTCTCCTCCATGGGATCTACCCAACCCAGGGATTAAACCCAAGTTTCCCACATTGCAGGCAAATTCTTTACCAGGGAAGTCCAAGAATACTAGAGTGGGTAGTCTATCCCTTCTCCAGGGGATCTTCCCAACCCAGGAACTGAACCAGGGTCTTCTGCTTTGCAGGTAGATTCCTTACCAGCTGAGCTACCAGGGAAGCCCAGATATAAGCAACTCATATGAAATTTCATTGAGTGGGGTACATTGAGGTTGATATGAAATTTTAAGACTTTTTCAGGAATTGTTCAGGAAAAGTCACAATGTCTGAGGTGCTTTGCAGAGTTTATTACTTACATCGTGGACAGTGACTCTCCTGGTGTATATTTATATCCAGCATTCAGGACGTGTCTTGTGGACATGCACGCTGCTCTCAGAAACTGGGGCCAAAATAACCTGGGCAAACAGTGAAGGTTTGGTTCTGAGTTGTCACTGTTACAGAAAAGAGAAAGACTTCTTTTGCCTTAAGATAACACAATGTCAGGCTGTAACCCCACTTGGCGGTGCAGTTACTAAGACCCATTTGTGAAAGAGGGGAATGCGCAGGGAATCAGTGGAGAGGATTTAGCTCTGATCTAGGAGGTTTAGGTTCATCCTGACTCCAGACTGCAAGACAAACCTTCTCAGGAAGATGAGGCATAGATGCCCCTTTCTAAGTTGGCTGGAATCCATCTTTACAGACTTACCTCTGCCTTCCCACTGTTGAAAACAACAAGTCCCAGATGACATCTTCCTGAGCATGACAGCTTTCAGCTTTTCTCTTTTTTGTCTCTAAATTTATGCAGACACTGTTCCCGTACTCAAAATGCCTTTCCTTGCTGTGAAACACTTGAAAGTGAAAGTGAAGTTGCTCAGTCATGTCCAACTCTTTGTGACCCTATGGACTGTAGCCGGCCAGGCCCCTCCATCCATGGGATTTTCCAGGCAAGAATACTGGAGTGGGGTGCCATTTTCTTTTCCAGGGGATCTTCCTGACCCAGGGATTGAACTCAGGTCTCCCGCATTGCAGGCAGACTCTTTACCCTCTGACCCACGAGGGAACACCTACTCATTGTGAAATACAGCATGACAGCTCCAGTTTTCTAGAACCAGAACCTGAGGAAAGGATCAGTTGCATATTATTTATTAAAGGGTTTTTTGGTTGTTTTTTTGTTTGTTTAAGGAAAATCTGGAAGAAAGGGAGGGAAGTGGTGGAGTGAAAGTGAAAGATTAACAGCATCGAAACATGTATATTATCTAGGGTGAAACAGATCACCAGCCCAGGTTGGATGCATGAGACAAGTTCTCGGGCCTGGTGCACTGGGAAGACCCAGAGAGATCGGGTGGAGAGGAACGTGGGAGGGGGGACTGGGATGGGGAATACATGTAAATCCATGGCTAATTCATTTCAATGTATGACAAAAACCACTGCAATGTTGTAAAGTAATTAGCTTCCAACTAATAAAAATAAATGGAAAAATAAATAAATAAATAATAATAATAAAAAAGAAAGTGAAAGATTAGAGCAATGATAATGGTCTTGGGTAATCTAGGATGTCCTGATGCACAGGGGCCTCTGGATCCATTTCCACCTGAGACAAGGGCTCTGTTTTGTTTTTGTTTTGTTTGTTAATTCTCAGAGCAGTAAGCCTTTAGCTATGGGATGTCACCTGGGTAAGTCAGGGCCTATAATCTGAGGGCATGCTCCTAAAAAAGGGGAAAGTCCTGAGTTCTTAGCAACAAATATTTGTAGTAGCTGTTAGATGGGTGCACCAGCTTGGATAGCAGCCTCTGGTGGGAACACAAGCAGTGTCTCCCATGCTTGCTCTGAGCTATCATGTGCGTGAGGCTGGGAAAAGCAGATACCCCAAAAATGTTAATGCAGAAAAATAAAAGGAGTAGAAATAAATTATGGAAGTCATTCAGTTTTCTTTTTGTTGTTCTGTAAAGATTTTCAAATAAATACAGCAACTTGGCCATCTCTTGAATGTACTTATGTATTCACAGATCAACATTTTTTGTGTTTCAGAAAAGTAGATGTTTTCTCAATTAATATCCTCCAACTAAATGAAATTCTGCTTTTTTTATAATGCTTTAGACACACTGCATTTTGTTTTCCAACTGAAAATAAATAATGCATTTACAGCATTTTTCAAGAAATGAATAGCTGTATTTTCACCAGATATCTCAAAGCACTTACTGATAAAATTGAACCAAGATTGAATAGGACAAAAGTAATTCCAATTTCACTAGATGGTATGCCTTTTTAAAGACAGACCTAAGGCACTAAACTAAGAGGAGATGAATCATTTTCTTCAAATATCTATTGGTTGATGAAAACAAAATTCATATGGATTTCCCTGGAACTTGTCCTGGGGTTTCATAATCACATTAACTACTGAGATGTTTAGAGAAATGGTTCAATATCTACACATTCTGCATTTCCTACCACATTTTCAAGAAAATCTTTACTATCTTGGTAAATACTCTCTTTGGATAATAGAAGAACAATATCCTAAAGCAACAAAAGATCTTAACTCTGTCACTGTCCCCATAGGGCAAAGCTTATGAGCTCAGTGCAAATACAACATGTATTGTATAGATAAAGAGAGGAATATTAGAATCAGGAACTAGGATTCTTAACACGTTATTCATTAAAATTATGGATCTGAGAACATAATTTCCAAATAGAACCATTCTCTACTGTGCCCTTTTCACCAATCTAATAATTAATTGACACCAGGTACAGTGCTTTCCTCATTAGATGTACATGCAAAGTTTTCTGTTTTCAGAGAACTCCAATAGCCACTTGCAGAGAAAAAGAGCAGTAACATCTACTTTTATTGTGTTTTCTACCTTTTAGGTATGAAACTGCTTCAGGGAATGACTGAATTTCCCCTACATTTCACTAAACAAATGCAAATTAACGTGTTTTTTTTTGTCATCACTGGGACCTGAACTCCCCTCCCCTCCCACCCGGAGATCTAATAGAGGATCAACATTCTGGAGAATTCCCACTTTTCGGTGGGTACTGGGTCCTCACCGGAAACTCTGAAGGTAGAGATTGTTCCAATCTATTGTATGTCACTTCAACACTGCTGCCGGGCCCTTTATGAAACATGTTTGAGTCATAGGATACTTGGGGGCTGCCAGGCCCTCCTGCGTCCCTGCTCCACTTCTCCTTGACCATCGTCCACTCATTGCCTCTGAAATCTCGCCACTTTACCGAAGAGCGGCCGCCAAGGACCTTGTGTGTCTTGCCCTCCAGTCTGGCGCCCTCAGGGGCTCTCTCTCCTCGTTACTGCAGCAAAAGCTCTACCCATCTCTGTCTCCTGCCACTCAGCTTGTTTCCCACTCTGCCACCCAGCAACACTGAGCTTCCTGTATTTCCTCACCAACACCTACTTGGTCTCCTGCATTTGTCATTTTTTCAGTTGTCAGCAACAGCGATTAAACAGATTTCATAGGCAGGGGTAGATCTTAACTTTATTTATTTTTGGCAGTGCCATATCTTCCTCGCTGCATGGGCTTTATCTAGTGTGACTAGCAGGGGCTACCCTCTAGCTGTGATGTAGAGGCTTCTTACTGTGCTGGCTTCTCTTGGCCCGGGCTTTAGTGTCGGGAACCGCAGGGATGCGCCCAATCCGTGGCAAGGTCACGGACGAGACAGGAGCTTGCAAGGCAGTTCTTCCCCTCAGGGTTGTCCCGGGGCCCGGTATGTCCCCTTCCTCTTTCTGTCTTACTGTTGTTGGGTTTTCTATTAATTCTTGGAAATGTAACATATAGTGATCAGGCCTCCCTGGAAAAGTCCAAGCCTATTTAGAAATGCTCATGATTGCTCTGGCTCAGGACACGACCATAAACATCAAGTCAAAAAGGAAAAGGCCACAGGCATATTTTGGCTGCTTGCTTGGAAGATTATAACGTTCTAGATTAAAAAAGAGTAGAGACATTTAGGTTCAGAAGTAGGTGTACTGCTTCAGTTTACTTGCTCCTTGGTTGAGAGGGCTTTCATTATTGCTATTTCTATGCTGCTAGTTGTCCATTGTTTCCCTTCCTTTAAACAACATGGAATATTACGGGTATTTTTGTAGAGTTAGGAAATGTGTTACATAGGATTTCAATAGAAGATTTACATTAACCAGCCTCACTGCCGTTACCTCAAAATTAATAGAGGTGTTTTGCTGCTTCATAGTTAATCATTGTAGACTGAGGCTTTGTGGTTTCGGGTAAAGAAAAATATCAAGGTTTTCATGTGGTACTATTCTCAGAAATGTCAAACATGTTTTTCATAACCCTTCCCATGTATTGTTTTATTACCTAAGGAATTCATACTATATCTGAAATCTATGGGACATTGTTTTTGTTAGAGTGAAAACATTAGGCCATTGAGGCAAGAAGACTAATATACGGGACATTCTAGGGAAAAAAACCCTATAATTGGGAATGTTCCAGATGAATACATAGGGGAAAAACATGGGGAAGAAAAATACTGACGGAAGCACGAAACCAATATCTGATGTAATATGTGGTGACTTAAGGGGGAGGTAATGTTCATTCTATAAAAACTGAGCTGTCCTAAAAATAAAAAAGCCTTTTCTTCCATGCACGCAGCCTTCCTTGTGTGTCTGTCTCCTTGCTCGCCGACGCCACTCACCCCTTGGGTACTCCTGGACCCGCTGGGGCTGGGCTCCGGCACTTTAGGGCGCACGGGCTTCAGCAGTTGTGGCCTGAGGGCTCAGTAGGTGCAGCTTGTGGGCTCTAGGGCGCAGGCTCAGTAGTTGTGGCGCGTGGGCTTAGTTTGTAGGTATTCTTGAGAGACTGATTCCACATATGGAATTTTAGGGATCAAACCGTGTCCCCTGCATTGGCAGGTGGATTCTTAACCACTGGATCACCAGTGAAGTCACTTAGCTTACTTTCAATTCAACACATGATAAAGTGACAAAATGTAGCATCATTCTCTCAAGATACCTCCAAACTCCAGTTTCCCAGCTGGGTTAGAAGTCCTAGCTCGTGGCTCATTTATCTTTACTTATTGCATTATAATTATGCCAGCCTGAACAATTTATGAGCCTGGGCTCTTCCATACACCATGCAGGTTATAGAATAGAGCTTCAAACAGGAGTGGAGAAATAAATGAAACTCAAATGACTAAAAGATCTTAACTACAGCAATGATTTGAAGAATCTTAGCACATCTCCCTACTAATAAAATACCTGATACTTTTTCTATATTTTCTATTTAGCGTCCCAAACCAATAAACAAAAGGGGAGTTATCTTTATGTTGTGATTTTTCTTACCATCAAGTCTCTCTCATCTGCCAATTGCTCACAAATAAGCTGTGATACTTAAAAATGGGAAAGCATTTTCCCACTTGATCATTGTATAGAATGAAAATGATATGCATCTTGAATAAAAGGAGGATATTCTGGGTTATATTCTAAGTGATAAAGTCTTAATGAGAAATAGCCATTATAAATCACAGGAAGATGTTCAGATGTATTAGTAATTAGAAAAATTGAAGTGTAAATATAATGAGATTATTTTAGTCTCTATAGCTGGACAGAAACTACAATGCGGGATACTGCCAAATATTGGCAGGGATGTGGGCATATAAGAACCTTCAAGCATGTTTGGTGGTCATGAAGTCTAGTGTAGCCAGTCAGCTTATATACTTCATGCAAAGTATCATTGCATAGCATATATTCTCTTTAAACATGCAGTTCTGCCCCCTGGATACATAGCTTTCATATATCCTATGGACAGGAGTCTTTTAGTGAATGTAAATAATATTCAGTGTTCCTTTGTCTTTAGTGGTAGAAACTGGAGTCCACATGGAAGATGGGCATGACTAGCTGTAACGCTTGGATAATGTCTATCTTACAGAGACTTTGTGAGCATTAAATGACTCACTGCACGAAAAGCACTTAGCTAAATGCCTGGGAAATAGTAAGTGCTCTCTAACACTAGTTATTACTCACTTTTATTACACAAATTAGTGACACATGCAAATAAAATGCCATTTGACATAAATGGATTCTAACAAAAAATATACATCAACTCCCTCAGATTCATTGCTGTGGAATGAGGGGGAAATAAGGATTAAATAGGGATAAAGGCATAGCTATCACAAGAAAAGGTCATGTGTCAGGAACTGAGGAGTATCAATAAACTTTGTGCACCAGAGTTCCAAGAAGAAAAGATTAAATAAAAGATTAAAGGGTTAGCTTATTGGAAGCATGTATGTTAAAGGTGATTTCAGCTGTGAGTGGAATATTGTCCAATTGAAGGTGACTTAATCATAGGATGTGTTACTATCACTCAAAATAGGCATTTGGAGGTAGTAGTCCCAGTCTCAGTTGAGTTCTAAGTGATGTTATTCTTCTGCCTCCAGTCTTTAAAGCTCTGGCGTTCACACTCTCTCTGACTTTGCTGTCCACATCATAAGCGATGCCATATCTCAGGGTCCAAATGGTAGGGAAAGGAGAGGAGTCAACACATCTGTCTTTTAACCAAGAGGAAAACATGTCCAGAATCTCCACCACCAGCAATTATACTGTAAACTCAGATCAAACTCTTTACTCAAGATGGATTAGAGACTCACGGCACAGATGTGAGGAAAGCAAATCTGATGTGTGAGGTTGGCAGCCCCTCTGACAGAAACTTTTTCTTCCTACAAGGCAGAAGTGGGTGGGAATGGCTCCTGGGAGGTCACCTGGAGTATCTGCCCTATGAGGGTGAGGAAATAGAGTATATAAAGAATGGTCAGTCTTACAGTACTTGAGTTAAAATCATCAGTTTACCATTAACAGACCTTCAACCTTATGGAAGTGATTCAATTTTCTGTACCTTATTTTACACATCTGTGAGAAATAAGTAATAATGTCCACCTCATACATGTGCACTAAATAAACATTGGTTGTTATTACTGTTTACTATGATTATTTAAGCAGTTGAGGGATTTGTAGTCTTTTGGTTCTCCATTAGAATTTCAAGATTGACATTTATTTGCAGTAGCTATTCCTATGCACACATGCTCTTACTCCACCATGATATTGTCAGATATCCCTTAAGAGATGTGGCTTCCCAGGTGGTTCAGTTGTAAAGAATCTGCTTGCCAATGCAGGCAACACAGGTTTGATCCCTGGGACAGGAAGATCCCCTGGAGAAGGAAATGGCACCCTACTCCAGGATTCTTGTCTGGAAAATTCCATGGACAGATGAGTCTGCCAGGCTGCAGTCCATGGGCTTGCAAAGACATAGCTGAGGGATTGAGCAAATCCCTTAAGGGTCAATGTCTTCTGTTGCCACAACCACCAAAGGGTACAAAGAGGTATAGGAATGTAATTAGTGCCTGATACAGGCCAGGGATGCTGCTAAACATCCCGCAATGCAGAAGACATCCCCCACAACAGAGAACTGTTCAGTCCAAGATGTTAATATTGTAAAGATTGAGAAACCCTTTTATGTAGGTAACAGAATACTAGAGTGGATAGCCATTCCCTTCTCCAGGGGATCTTCCAGACCCAGAAATTGAACCCAGGTCTCCTACATTGCAGGCAGATTCTGTACCATCTGAAACACCAGGGAAGCCTGTGAGACTCCCATAGGTAAAAACTGTACATTTTAACCACCTATATCAACCACAACTTATGTCTATAAAATGGAGGTAACAATTCCATCTTTATAGCATTGTTGAGAAGATTAAAGACCCAACATGTGTACAGCATGCCAAACAGAGTTAACTAAGAGTTTACTTCACTGTGGCTGTTTCTTTGGCTATATAATGTGAAAATAATGCTTCATTGTAAAAGCACTGTGAGGATTAAGTAAAATATGCTTGGGGTCCCCAGCAACAGTAGGTAATGTTAAGTATGAGCCACTGTTTTTCTTCCCTTCTCATTAATCTTGAAGACAGAACTTTGATCCTCATAGGTGATTAGGTAGTGAAGGACCTACTGAGAAAAAAATACCATAGTGTAAAACCTAAAGAAAAGTTTGGATCCCTACAGTTAAGAAAGTTTTTCATTATTCAGTTGTCACAAGATATTGCTTATGAATTGTATTAAATCGATCATGTTGGAGTAAAAATTTGTCCAGTTCCAGACTTAGAGGCATGAATTATAGGAAAAGGAAAAAAATCAGTTCCTATCCTATTTTCCATTTGATTTGTACATGGTCATTATTTTAGTGGCATTTGCAACAGCTTTTAATACAGAAGTTTGACATGCTTACTGGTCAATGCTCTATAAACACCACTGTACATATTTACTTCTATAAAACCCCATATTATTCATGTAATGAGACTTGATAATAAAAGAGTAAGCAGTGATTCATTCCTCTGTGTTACTTCATGCATTGCACTTCTGAGGTCTGAAATAATGGAAAGAATCTTGTTTCAAAAGGAAATATCACAGAGAGGAAAGGCACTATCAGAGTGCTGGTCGAAATCAAATGAAACTCGAGGCTAATAAAAGTTCTACAGCTTGACCTCACAGACATCCCCACACCTTGCAGTTTTGAACTCAAACAAGGGGTAATGGTCAACATAAACCATGCTCAAATCCTGTTACCACTTAAAGATTTCAAAATTGCTAGCCAATAAAATGGAAGAGAAACTGTGCATCCACATGCGGGAAATAAAGATAAATTGGTTGAAAAATGCAATGGTTAGCACTGGGATGTGGGGATGGGGGCAGGGGAGCTCAAGACAAAGCACCAGATACCAGCAGTAAAATATAAGAGAAAAGCTCACTGTAGCCCATTTAATTGCCATGGAATCAAGCCAGTGGGGTTAATGAAACTAGCCTGAGTTTTAGTGTTTCATCTTTTGCTATTTGTATTCTGTTTGCTTTATATCTTCTGTAATGATTATGAAGACAGACATCCAGTAAAATGAGAAACATGAAAAACACATGAAGTACCTAGTTGACAAAATGCTTGTTAATGAATTTCTTCTTTCCTTCCTTTTCTGTTTATCTTTAGGGTTAGAGAATTTAGATGCCGCCTCCATTACCTCCCATAAGTATTTAGATAGATACATTTTCCCCTTAAGAATTATACTTTATAATGAGCTAAAACACATTTCTTGTTTTTTGTTCTGCTCATTGGTCCTATTTTTAACACGACTTCACATGACAGATCTTGAGTAATTTGTAGAAAAAAAGCCATATTCCTGGTACATTATCCTCTCTCTTGGCTAAATATTTCTGTTCCTTGTGATAGGTCAAGTGCTGACTGTATTTTCAAAATTTTCCAGGTGTTTCATATTTTCTTAAGACAGTCATACTTGGAAGCAAAAGAAGGGTTTTAAGGGTGGCCTAGAGCAGTGCTTCTTAACTTTAAATGTGCATTCCAATCACTGGGACATCTGTTTTATATTCAAGTATAATTGATTTACAATGTTGTGTTAATTTCTGCTCTATAGCAAAGTGACTCCATTATGCATATATATGTACATTTTAAATATTCTTTTATTATATTTGATCATAGGATATTGAATATAGTTCCCTGTGCTATACAGTGGGGTCTTGCTTATCTATGCTATGTATAATTGCTTATACCTGCTAACAACAACCTCTCACTCATCCGTCCTTCGACCTTCTCACCATTGGCAACAAAACGTCTATTCTCAATGTCCAGAAATCTGTTTCTATTTCATAAATAAGTTCATTTGTGTCATATTTTAGATTCCACATTTAAGTGATATCATAAGGTATTTGTCTTTCTCTTTCTGACTTGTGTCACTTAGTATGATAATCTCTAGTTGCATCCATGTTGCCACAAATGGCATTATTCATTCTTTTTTATGGCTGAGTAGTATTCCGTTGTATTATATTTGCATCACATCTTCTTCATCCATTCTTCTGTTAATGGATGTTTAGATTGTCTTCATGTTTTGGCTATTTTGAATAGTGCTGCTATGAATATAGGGGGGCATGTATCTTTTTGAATTATAGTTTTGTCTGGATATATGCTCAGAAGTGGGAATCTTGGATCATAAGTTATCTATTTTTAGTTTTCTGAGGAGTCTCCATACTACTTTCCATAGTTGCTGCTCTAATTTATATTCCCACCAACAGTGTAAGAAGTTTCCCTTTCCTCCACACTGTTTCCAACCTTTGTTACTTGTAGACTTTTTAATATACAAGTCTATTTATCTTTGGCTGTGCTGGGTCTTTATTGCTGAATGGGCTTTTCTCTATTTGTGGCAAGTGTTGGCTACTCTCTAGTTGCGGTGCATGGGCTTCTCATTGTGGTGGCTTCTCTTATTGTGGAGCACAGAATCTAGGAAACAGGGCCCAAGAAGTGCAAGTCCCCAGCTCTAGAGCACAGTCTTAGTTGCTCTGCTGCATGTGGAATCTTCCTGGATCAGGAACAGAACCTGTGTCTCCTGCATTGGCAGGCAGAGTCTTTACCACTGAACCACCAGGAAGCCCTTGTAGACTTTTTAATGATGGTCATCCTGACTAGTGTGAGTTGGTACCTCATTGTAGTTTTGATTCGCATTTCTCTGGTTATTTGTGATGTTGAGCATCTTTTCAGATGCCTAAGAGCCATCTGTATTTTTTCTTTGGGGAAATGTCTGTCTAGGTCTTTCTTGTGCCCGTTTATAGATTAGGTCATTTTGTTGTTGTTATTGTTGAGTTGTATAAGCTGTTTGTATGCTTTGGAAATTAAGCCCTTGTTGGTCACATCATTTGCAAATATTTTTTCCCACTCTGTAGATTGTCTTTTCATTTGTTTATGGTTTCCTTTGCTGTGCAAAAGCTTGTAAGTTTGATTAAGTCCCATTTGTGTATTTTTGTTTATTTCTATTGCCCTAGAAGCCTGCCCTAAGAAAGCATTGGTATAATTTATATCAGAGGATATTTTGTCTGATCTCTTCTAGGAGTTTAATGATGTCATGTCTTTAAGTCTTTAAGCCATTTTGAGTTTATATTTGTGTATTGTGAGAGAGTGTGTTCTAATTTTATTGATTTACATGCTGCTGTCTTACTTTCTCAGTACCACTTGTTGAAGAGACTTTCCCGTTGTATATTCTTGCTAAATGGGATTCATCCCAAGTTCACAAGAGTGATTCAGCATATGCACATCAATCAATGTGATGCATCACACCAACAAAAGAGGAAAACCACGTGATCCTCTCAATAGATGCAGAAAAAAACATTTGACAAAGTTTCAACAAACATTTAATATAAAAACTCTTACCAAAGTGGACATAGAGGAAACACAACTCAACATAATCAAAGCTATGTGAGACAAACCCACAGCCAATATAATATTCAATGGTGAAAAACTTAAAGCCTCCTGCTAAAATATGGAACAAGATAAGGATGCCAACTCTCACCTATTTGACATAGTATTGGAAGTCCTAGACTTAGATGTCAGACAAGAAAGCGAAATAAACATCCAAATTGAAATGGAAGAAGTACAATTGTCATTATATGCAAATAACATGATACTAAAAATAGAAAACCCTGAAGATCTCACCACAAACTATTAGAGCTGATATAAATTATATAATTCATATTATATAATTATAATTCATATTATAGTAATTATATAATATAGAAATGAATTTAGCAAGGTATCAGGATACAAGATCAACATACAGAGATTGGTTGCATTTTTTTATATTAACAGTGAAATATCAGGAAGGGCATGTAAACAAACAATACCTTTTAAAAATATACTCCAGAAGATAAAATCTTAGGAATATACC